AGGGCAACTGCCGTCGCCAAATGCCCTGCACAGGGAGAGGCCCAGAATGGCCACGATCATGTGGATTACTGGGGATTGATGGAATGTAATGTAAGGTGATAAAAGTGCAAGATTAAGAGTTTTCAGGAGCAGCGGGTCAGGACCTGATTCTGTTCGAAAAGCGTCACAGCCATGTGTTCAAGAAGAAGGGCAAGGTGTTCCCGGTATGCTGGCTTCAAAACTTTCGCAGCTGACTAAATCAGCAAATGCTGCCCACAAATTCACCATATCATTTCAAACCTCCGTCAGTGGCCTGTGCTTGAAATACTTCTTTCAGCGCCAACCTGAGGTTGAATAGCGCGAAAAAACTGAGGATTTCGCACAACAGTTATGTAACATGTGCAAAAGTCCACAGTTCTGGTGGTTACTGAGCCATCCACTCTGCCACATTGGGGTGCACCTCGCCCCTGGCAACGAGTTGGGGCGTTGAAAAAAAGACATGGCAACTCCCTGCCCCTGGTGTCTGGGAAATTAGCACATAAAATATATTGGGTTCAACTGATTGAAAATGCATGTCCAAATTTGATTGCTGTCGCCATCTTTTGCATGCAATAGCTGCTATAATCGATATATAAATATATAATATATATATATATAATATATATAATATATAATATATATATAATATATAATATATAATATATATATAATATATATAATATATTTATAATATATATATATAGCTATATAGATATATCAAGATTCCTGGGCTGATGACATGCTGACGATCTACGGCTCTCGCCCTGTTTTGCACTGGTGGCATGGCGCAGGCAAGCAGGTCTCTGGCCAGGTCTGTGGTATGGCATAAAAAAACGACTGGTGCGCACACACAGAACTGAGTTCTGAAATGTCCTGAAGTCATTGATCTGAATCTTCTTCAAGAAGAGGCAAAAGATTACTATTACAAAGATTATGAAAGAAGATGATCATGATGGATTAATTATGGTGGATTATGATGGATTATGATGGATTACAGTACAGTACCATGGATCTGTATGACGGATTCTGATTTATGGATCCGAATACTGTTCTGAGATTGTCTGTGTGCTGTCCAGCATCAATATCAATGCCATGGACCGTTTCGATTGAAGCGAAATTCAATGCTACATCATTCTTAATAATTCTTACTCTAGACAGTCTTTGCCGCATTGGAACTTTGAAAATGAGTGGATCACGAGCTCAGCACTCAAAGACTTATATTCATGTATATACATACTTGTGTATATATATATATATATTTATTTATTTATGTGTGTGTAATATAGCCACACATCAAACATGATACAAACGGGAGCATTGGTTGTCTGAAGTCATATGATTTCATGATGTGCACAATCCTTCACGGCCACACCTTCAACATGGGCTTTTGGTGCGTTTGTTTTGTAGGCTTTCGTACGTGATTCCACTGGTTCTGAAACGAACACTCTCCGTGTCTGTACAGATTTGCCAGCCTTCAACACAAGAACAACCAGCGATCGGCAGGCTGACCCTGTATGCCAAACGTAGCAGGTTTGCACGTCAAAAGAAAAGGGCATTGCAGAACTTTTCTTCATAGATCAGTATCCATGTGACTTTGTGTTCCTGTTCCTGAAGGCCACGCAGTGCCAAGGGCATACTCTGCTCAATCAAGCTAGGACACTAAGGCGTCTCTTCTGCGTCACAAACTCATGCCACAACCACCCATTCTAATCTTCAAACGCACGAAGAAACTACCCATGTCCTTCCAACAGCCGCCCTCACGGCCCTCACGGAAATTTAAATACCTTGGCTAATTGGATATGAGAGAAACCAAATGAAACAGGAGAAACTTCTCGCATCCCAGCGGCCTGGCACCATGATTTTCTTCAATCGAAAATGCCCAGAACTTCTGAGCTGCATTAGATCGCATAAACCATCATAAACCACCTGAATCTCAAACTCCTGGCGCACTGCCCAGCCCAATTCTCCAATTGTCTGCCAAGCAACCGCAGGCTTCTAATCATCTCATGGTCGCAGAACACCAATCACCTCCCGTACCTGCAGCCATGGCGAGACAAACAAACTGCTGATGACCGTTCATGACCCATACCTCGCCTGTTCTTGCAGGTGCTCGTCCTCAAAGTGGCAGTCCTCCAAGAAGGCACATGCCGCCTGGCGTGCTCTTTGAAGCATGGACTTCTGCGAGACTTCTGTTCATGAAGCTGCCAAGTCAAAGATAAACATGGCTGGATACTTGGCCCAAGAACGATTATATAAATCTGATGCATCAACCGTCCAAATTCAAACTTCACAAAACTAGATCTAGAAGGGTCCTCATGAATTTGCAACAGCTCGCACATTGCCTGCTGGAGTGTCTGCGAGATTTCTCCGTCGGTGACTTTCAGAACCTGAGTTTGCAGAGGTCGGTTACCGGTTGAAACCGCGTGCATGGCCATCTATCCCATAGTGGGAATCCTTACAATGGGAATCAATGTACATGGACGGATGACCATCTCCCAATTATGGGTAAACAATTCATCTTAATGCCAACACCGGATTAATAAACCCCCCCCCACCAGGTAGGTAGGTAGGTACCTTCTGGCTAGTTTTCTTGACCACCCCTTAATAATAAGCAACTCTGAACCATAAAAATTTGGATTGGTTTTTGGAAACATGGGAATAATTAATAAGTATATAATTAATTAATGTCAAGTGAGGATTAATCAACCTCCTGGGATAAAAAAAAACACCTATGGATTAATAACCCCCACCAAGCAGCATGGGATGGCAGTGATGGCATGGCATCTGCTGGTTGATTAATTAGGTCCAGGCTTGTCCAGATTCCTATGAGGGAAGAGTGAGGAAACCACCATGCAGAAAACCTGTCCAGGGTGATGATTTTTATAAAGAATTTTGGATTAAAATAAAAAAAAAAGGATTTCAGCACTGGTGGTTGATTAATCGGGGGTAGGCCAAACGGTTTATTAATCAAGGGGGATCACCTGTTTTTAAATTGCATTTTTTTGGGGGGGCAGTGGTGGTTGATTAATCGGGGGGTGGGTTTTTTAATCCTCACTTGACATTATACACATATATATATATAATAGTATATATATATATGTATGTATACACATAATATGGCGGTTGATCCAAATTCTTTCACCTGCAAAAGGCCAGTCTTCGCAAATAAACCAAGTACTTTCGAGAATCTTTCGCAACTCCAGGTGTTTCTTTCGCGGGGTTATGCTTATCCACTTTTGTGCTGCTGAGACGTGCTCAAACGGGATGTAACTGTCTGAGCCATCTGGGAGACAGCCAAGGGCAAATACAAGGCTATGTTGGGATTATTCCAGGAAAGAATCTGAGCTTCATTATTTCCAGGCTTCCTTGACGCTGTAAAGGTGCTGCGTGGGATATGGGCTTCCATGGGCACTTTCTCTTTCGCCACTGCTTTTCTGGAGTTTTCGCGGAACTCTCGCGAAAAACCATGTGCAACTCAGCCAGTAAATCCACCACCCTGAATCGTGCTTGGGGGTGCAGCTCCACTTGATGGCAAGTACCAGTAGTACATGGGTCTATGGTATCCCTGAAATTCACAATTCGGAAGGTTCTCGCTTCACCCACAAAAACACTATGGTAAAACACCTCATCAAAATAAACTTTTGCCAAATCTTTCGCCCAACAAAATACTTGTGCGAGCGCAGAAAACTTTCTCGGTGTAGATCGACTCCCATATATACAAATAATTTGTATGTATAATATGTATATATATAATTATATGCATAATTACTTATACATATACATATACATATAATAGGGTGTGATATATATATATAATTACTTATACACATGCATAATTACTTATATATATATATGTATATATATGTATATATATGTATATATATGTATATATATGTATATATATATGTATATATATATATGCATAATTACTCCTTGAACATGGGTGTGAAAAAAAAAAACTAGCGCAAACCTAGCGGGTTTGCTAGCGCTGCCTTGCAGAATTGCTGAATTTAGTTGCGTGCCGCCTCATAAGGAAGAGGAAAAACCACTAGGTCCACACACTAATTATCAACAACTAGTCCAAAACTTCTGTCAGCTATTTTTGGCAAATGGTCATATACTTACATACTTATATACATCTATGTGTAGAGTTATGTTTATACAAATGTAAATATATTATAATATATTTAAATATACAGTTCATATATGTGTCTGTGTCTGGTTGTCAGTTACTTAGAACTGCCAGGCATTCAACTTCCGAAACGTATGCAGTCCAGTGGCAGTGTTTCAGAAAATTTCGAAACAATGAGGCAGACTCTAAGATGTATTTGGCAAACTAACATAGCTATTGAAAATTGCCATTTATAGTAGATTTAAGCATTAAAAATGGTGATTTTCCATAGTTATGTTAGTTTACCAGAGGGTACCAATGACAAAATATTATACGAAGCGAGTAACGTAACCTGCTTTAACCTGGCCCCTATTCAATAGGGCACCAGCAGGACGATTGAGCTTAGTTTGTCATAGCTTACCATATCCCACTTTGACCAACTATTTTTTTGTGGTATCCACAAATTTCAAACAGCCCAAATGCAGCTCTGGATGCACTAGATTCTGTTACATATCCATAATTGATCATAATTGTTCATGTTTACATTTGCATATGCAAGCACACATACAGAGATAGAGTATTGAAAGAGATCGGCCAGGATGATCGGCCTATCTACGTTGCCTCCCCGGCCATGGTGCCCTTCTGACAGGACACTGAGATCAGAAAGTCCATGGCAATGGCCTCGCCTGGCAGGGCCTCTAAGACTGCGCAGACCGTTGATGCCTGGTTGCGCATTGCACGTAGTCCAAGAAGTCAAAGATCTTCCAACATGAAGTGGCTATGGATCAAAACTCTGGCACTCTGGTTTTCACATCAAAACAGCTGGTAAATGATGTCAATGGATATTCATCACCTCCAAATTTATGGAATGTTATGTGTGTATGTATGTATGTATGTATGTATGTATGTATGTGTGTATGTATGTATGTATGTATGTATATACTTATATGCATGTGTGCATGTGTATATAATATATATATATATTAGAAAACAATTATATTTATACTATACTACATTATATTATGTTATATTATATTACATTACATTATATTATATTTTATTTTACTGTATTCTATTTGATTATAGCATATTATATTGTATTATATTATCTTACAGCACATTATTTTATATTATATCAAATATGATATGATATTATATTATATTATATTAGATTAGATAATATTAGATTATATTTCATTATATTTCATTATATTATATTATATTATCATATTTTATTGAGTTATATTTTATTGTATTATACTATATCATATTGCATTTCATTATATGAGGTTATATTACATCATAGTATACTATATT